TCTCTCATCAGGGGAAATGAGAAGCTGAGCCAAAGCCTGCAGTGATACTGCACTGTTTGCTGATGTGCTGGAAAGACATGGGCCCCTCTCTCAGCATCTGATGACCCTCTCCACCTACCTGTCCCTCTGCTTCTTGCCCTGGCCCCTCAGGGCTCCTTGTCCCTCTCCTAAGGGGGACCTGCAGGGGCCTCAACCTCTGACTTGCTCTCCCCAACGAAGCTGGGTTTTGTTTTGTTCTATTTTTGGCTGTAACAATGTCGAAAATGAGCTGTGAATACTCAAGGCAATTCAAGTCCCCACTTCCTATTTCCTTTCCCTCCATTTCCTGGGTCTCCATTTCAGTGTTTGCTGCTATGTTCACCCATTCTGTGGTTTTGAAGAAAGAGATCAGAGTAACCACTGTTTCCTTCCTCCCGGAAGAGACTGTACCCTTTGCAGCCAGGGGCCTGTCCCATGTGTCTCACACCCACCTAGCCCTGCAGACGTAGGGCTCCCTGTGTACCATGTGAGTGCTGTCTCAAGTGTCATATGGCATTCAGTAGGTCACCCATACTCGCTGTTCCTCACCTACTGTTCCCTCAACCTGGCTGTCAACCCTGGAGCTGGAGACACCAGGAAAGCCTCCGTTGGGGAGGTCAAAGAGCACCTCCTGTCTGCCATATCTCTGCCTTGGTGCTTCAGGCCTCTATCCCTTCCTGTGACCCCAGACTATCACGACCTCCTGGCCTGTCCAGTGGCTCTTCCAGTGCCTCTGTCTCTTCCGTCTTATCTGAACCCCTGGTGCTCAGAATTTGGCTTGTGCATTCCTCTCTCCCTGGCTGAGTGCACACCTACCTGAGCTTAAACTCTCTCCTAACTCCCAGTGTGGGTCTCCAGTGCTCCCTACCCTGCACTGCAGCCCCAGCTGCCCTTGACTGACAGCAGTGTAGACACAGCAAAAATGCTTCTTCATTCATCCACCATCTGGTTCCTTCTCACTCCTCTATCTTGGTTCATGACACCGCTCTTCACCCAGTCATACAAGCTAAACAAACTTTAAAAAAAATTTTTTTTTGTCTTTTTTTCTTTTTTATCGGTACTGGCAATCAAACTCATGACTGCCTGCTTGCAAGGCAGGTGCTTATGCCACTGAGCTAAATCTCCAGCCCCAAGCTAAACAAACTTTAATCCATTTATAATCCATGGCGTTACAAAACTTATCTTTCACCAATGTAACAATGAGCCCTGTACATTTCAAATACAGCATGATGTGTGTCACCTAACTGCTATCTATTACCAGGAACACATAACTTTCTCTTTAGCAGGGGAGATTCCAGCCCATGCCAGAATGCCCTTGTGTGGCCTTTGTCTTCTCCCTGGAGAAGTGATGTTGGGGGGTAGGGGAGGTTTGCCCCATCAGGGGCATCTGGCAATGTCTGGAGACATCTAGTTGTCACACTGCAGAGGGGCATCACTGGCATCTACTGGTGAGGACCAGGGCTGCTGCTAAACATCCTCCCATAGACAGTATGCAGCCCACACATAAGCATAAGTCTTACATGGCTTACCCCACCACAGGAGAGCCACTTGATGAACTTCAGTTCACTTCTCAGGTGCACTCATCCCGCCTGTGCTACCTGCTCCCCCCTCCAGAGAAGCCCTGCCACACCTTTCTTGGTCACACCTGTCTCAGCACACGGTGGATTAACCAGACAGAAAGTCTTATTTGGCTGTGTGCCCTTTTACTAGAATGGGAGTTCCCCTCAGCAGAGGTTGCATTTGATTCGTTTTTTATTCTTAGTTCCTGGCATTCAAATGTGTTGAAGGGAAGAAGACTGCAGCTGCAGACATCTCAAAGGATCTCAAAGCAAACAGCTCAGCTTTCCAACACTCCAAAATCAAGATTACAGTTGGTCAGTTCTAAGAAATGAACATACACACTGTGCAGCAAATTTCCAAAACTGGTCTTCATAGTTACTGTATAACAGCTTTAGAGTTAATACTTAGAAATCACATTGGTTTTTATGGGAAAGATTACGTACCGTTTACAATAAACTTAACCAATTGTCTAAATAGTCTGCTAAATTTAATAAAAGAAGGGGTGGGAAAATAATGTGACACTAAAATAAATATGTGTTTAAAGTATTTTTTTTAGGAAGAACTAAATCATCAAAATGTGTACACAGACTTTGAAATCATGGGAGTGATAAAGACTAACTGAAGCATACATTTTTAAAAAGTTCAGTTCCATTGGCTTAAGAATTTACTTACTTAGTATTAAGTAACAGATAATAAACAAACTTTTATAACAAAAAGAAAAAATATAAAAAATGTTTCTAATAAAACTTGCATATACATAGTGAACAGTACAAGCCTGGTCCCATTTCTAAAACATCTTAGATAATCAGATAAGGAAAACTCTGGGCCTCTAACAATGTAACAGGAGACTCAGAAAACAGGCAGAGTAAAATAATAACAGTAAAGTACCGACTGTGCAGATTTCAGAAATCTCAGCAGTAATGATTTTTGTAGCTACACGAGTACTTTAGCTCCTTAACCTATTACTGAGCTGTTAAAATGTTATTCATAATGTTAAAACATCAAATTTCTGTTTGTAGATCAAGTCATTATACAGCTTTTACAAAAATAATACTGTACTTTAAAAGGCATATAAAAAAATATGCCAATTACTGGTATACTCTTTGCTGTGCCCAGAAGAAACATTATTTAGACTACAAAATTTCACGTGAATTCTAACTTGTAAACACTGAACAGAGCCTCTGTCTCAGACACAGGTAAGTTCTCACCAGATTTTAAAAACTGGGTATTAACAAGCTGTTGATTATATAGACAGCTAGAAACCTGACACCACCCTGCGGGAAGCTGGGAGACAAACACAGAAGAAAAGAATCTGTAGAACTCTTGGTGCTTTAGAAACCAGGGTCTCTGACCAGCATGGTGATTTAATTTCACACTGCCCGGTACAGATAGCTGACATTACTAAACGCTGCTCTAATATCAACTTGTTAAATGCGAATCCAGACTCAGCATATCAGAATACTAACCCAGACTAGCTGGAGACATGGGAAATATTTTGGGACTTGTTTATTTATAAATGAGTTACAATCTAACACTATAATTAGATTAATATATAATTATTGATAAACATGGGATTATCTAGAAAATCCCATTATTGTTGTGACTGCTATGTTTAGAAAAGCAATGCTAGTATCTTCTTTACAAATCCTTGATTTACTACTGATTAACTAGATGAATTTAGATTTAGTTTATATTGACTTTAACTGTTGTATGCTTTGTAATATTTAAAGAAAAGTTTTTTAATAAATAATGAGAAAGAATAATTTAAAACGAACACATGCAATTTTGAAGTACTTTATAATCCAATAATCTAAGAAAAATTAGAATTGGCACAAAGCTAAGCATTTGGTTATCACATACACACAAAAATACCTGTTGGTTTCTCTAAATAAGGCCAAGAAAAATGTGCATTTCAGCAGTACAAAAGGCTGAATTTATGTTTCATTAAAGATACATTTAAAATACCCTTTTTGAAAAGCATCAACAATAAAGTATGTTATCACAAAATTACTATTTTAAGGTTAAATATTTCTATAAATATTTCAAGGTTAATTATTCCTTTCAGATTATTTCACTAAAGGTAAGTAAATTTAAAATAACATTTATTCAATTAGCAAGTCATTAACAGGTTTCTTTGTAGTGTCACTTCATTTTTCTGAGGGGAGTAGCCAAATGGAATATAATCTCCTAAAAGCTGGTTTTAGAAAGTTGTCAAAATGAAATTAGTAAATTGTAAAACACAGATCAAATTTCAGATAAATGAGTTGCTTAGATTAACATCTGGTATTGATGTTATGATGATAATAGTAATGATATTTTTCAGATTTAAAAATGATTACATTTACCAAATTTTAAAAGACAGAAAGCCAATTAGGAATTATTTAACACTGTATTTACCTAAAACTCCTTGTCCAGAAGTTTCTCCCCAACTTTTAATGTAGATATTGGGAGTTATATAAACAAAGGTAAACAGAAGAGGTTTTTATCTCTCTCAAATCATCATCTCTCAAACTATGTGCTGTCATCTTGACTGAGTTTAGTCAGAAAATATTTAAAATTTCCTGCAATCTACTAAGACTTTCTAAATACAGATATTTTAAAAAATTATTTCAGTTCAAAACAAGACAAATTACATAAAGAGCTGTTTTGACTAAGACCTGTTAAATTACTAATATAATAAAGCACAACAGTCAAAACAACAATATGGTAAATAGAAAATTATGGAAAATGCCTAGTAATTTAAAGCAGATGCAAACATAAAACTTAGAAGTAAACACTGTTGAGTTACATGTTTCAAGGCAGTATTAACTAATGGCTAAAGAAAAACAGGGTAGAAACAAAATTCCTATGGTTAGGGAACATACAAAGGAAAATTACATTTAGCTTTCTTCTGTTTAAGTGTGCAATGTGATAGTTTTTATCTTACAAATACATGTATTTGAAATATTTCTCCTATACCCATTTACAAGATCTTTACATTTTCATATTTTGTTTAATATTTTTAAATAAGCATTTTATATTTACTTTATTTCACAATGATTAAAGAGGGGAGAAAATATTTTTAAAAGTAAAAATAATAGAGTTGCACATTAAAACACTGTGCCACTTGAAAGAAAAATGTACTAGGATAAGGTGTTGTGAGATATTACTTAAAACTTGGTTTTATGCTAAAGAAACATTTTATGACAAATCATTTATGAAAGTCTTTTTAAAAATATAGTTTGTCAATCTGTGAAAAAATAAAGAATGGAAAAACTACGTGGTGGGAGTGTACAGCCTTATAAAGTTCATGCCCATAAAATACTTGCTAGCTATAAACCATGAAATCACATAAACTGCTAAGTTATAAAACATTTTAACCAAATATTTCATTAAGCTATTATTACATAAATTGACATTAAATAAAACCAAAGGAAACCTACCTTGCAAGAATTAGATAATCCATTTGTGAAATTGCTGATGCTGTCTCTCGATAAACTGTCAATTTTACCTTTATTTCCAGATGAAAACTTTATGAGTAACTGCGATGGTCCCCCTTTAGAACAACTGTGTTTAAGACTGGATAAACAGGAAGTATTTGGGTAAGTTCCTCCCAATGAAATACTTCTTTGTAAAACAGTGTGGTTTTTGTTTATCTGTGAAGTTGGTTTTCTTAATTCTGCATTGCATTTTCTTTGGTAATCCATGTGTTGGGTGGATTTTAAACACGCAGATGTCCTGTGCCCAAGCTTAGTATACTTTGCATCAAAATTAAGTGGAATTTCTGACATCTCCAGTTTACAATCACCATTTGTTGTGTCATAGTCTAATGTGGCTGCTTTTTGTTGGGCAAAATGCACTGAAACACATGAATATCCTTCAGATGACTTTTCACAAACAGTCTGTTTTGGACTATTATTTGAAATCACAACTTTCTTCTGGGATGAGCCTGAATGAAGAGGTCGTTTATCTCTGACTTCTGCCGGAGCACAGACTATTTTAGATAATCGAAGCCCACTGACAGCAGTTGAAAGAAATCCCTTTGCACTGGAACCATCCTCACGATGTGCAACTTCGTTAGGGGAAATAATGAACTGATGTGAGGTTTGGTAGGACCCCTTGCTCGGGAGAACACCTGTACTTGTCGGAGAAGTTGGTGGTGTGTTTGAGGGACTCCGAGGAAAAATGACTAAGGAAGAGCAACGTTTTAGTGGAATTTTTGCATTCCTGCTCACTGGTAATTTCACAGTTTTGATTCCATGCTCTAAGTCAGCCTGGACAGAAGGAACTCTGCTTGGATTTCTTGAAACATTCTCACAGGGAGTGGTATTCCTGTTTGGTGCATTTCTGTCAGACGTGCTGTCAGCAGATAAATTTCCACCAAAAAATGTGTCATCAGTGGGTAGAAAAGCGTAACCATTATTGTCACTGATGACACTGCTGGTGTAGGAGCCTCCACTGGTGATGCTTGTACATGATCCATAATCACTACTGACGCTGCTGTAGGATCCATGATCACTGGCTGCAAAGCTACCAAGGCTTCCACTGCTGACAGCAGGACTGCTTATGAGGTGACCATCACTCCCAACACTAGTCTGGATGCCGCCCTTGACAGCACAGAGAAACAAAGCTTCTTCACCGTCACCGTCCACTAAGACACTGCTGGGTTGAAGACACTCGCTGTATTTCGTGGGCTGCAGTGAAATCTGTAGGCAGCTGCTCTTCTTACCGATGTTCTCAGGTGAAGGAATGCAGGCTCCTTCCTGAGCCTTCAGCTCCATCTGAACAGCATTAGCTGAGGAAATCTGTGCTGGTCTTTGGAAGGATATATGAAGCCGGTTATCCAGATCATCTCCGGAGCTTTCTGACAAAGGGTAAGTATTACTTCTTCGGGCTGCAAAGTGCAATCGTAAGCTTTGTGCCATTTGTTCTCATTTCCAAACATGTTAAGGGCTGAGAGTCAAAACAAAGATCTCTGTCCTCACACAGGCTAGAAGCAGCTGCGCTGCCGCAAAAGCAGCAGTCATTTGTGGCTCCTGACAGAGCTCTCAAGTCGTGGTCTTTATCCTGCTTAAAACATTAGATACCAGATATCATAAAAAGAGAACAGTGACCCACTCCTGGACGCACATTCCCCAAATGTCTTGAATCGCTTGTAGTCCAAACGTCTTCACTCACACAGCACTTGATTTCCAGCGACCTTTGAGCGAGCTCAGGAGCACACTGACTAGAACACAGCCAACCTTGTTTCAATTATACCTTCTCCAACTTGCATGAATGAGTAACACAAGAACAACGGCCCCTCGCATTTCAAGATGAAACAGTATTTTTTCACACCAGCTCTATTAAATGAACACTTAATTCTGGGAGAGAGTCTCAGTGCCTATACTTTCTCCAGCAGAGTCTGACCACTAATATTTTTACCGAAAGGTATAGAATTACAGGAAGTTGGTAGGAACGAAGCCCACGTAATTGAGTATCAAAGATTAAATTTCCAAAAAGTGGCCATACTAGGAATCCTGGCAAGTTAGTTAATGCAGAAAGAAATATGGACTGTTAAGTTTTTTTAAAAGGAGAAAATTCAAACAGTTGTGCAAATTTAGAAATACCAAAACGGGGTGAATTAAATCTTCAGCATTAAATCAAAAGATATTTTTGGCTTCAGAATTACAAAAAATGAAAGCTTACACACAGTGTGACAAATTAAACCCAGTGGCACTACTGCAAAAATGAACATATATTTGAGGGAGAAAAAAAGAAATGTAAGAAATGCTGTCACCAAGCATTTTCTCCTGTAATTTTAAGGCCTTTCCCAGCCAAGTAGTACAGTCTTTAAATGATGCCATTTATAGTTTGACTATTAAAATTCTGCCAAGAAATAGCCTAAGCAAACATTCCATTAAAAATATATGCAGATTAGACAGGAAAACTATACCCAGTATAATTTGAGCACATTGGGCATTTCATTCCACTGTCTGCAATCCATTCACTTAACAGAGGTTGTGGTGAGTAACGAAGACTAAAACAGATTTAACACATCAAATAAACATACCTCAATGCCAATGCTGTTCTAAAAGCTCTAAGAGCTCTTTGCCGGCCCCTACCGGTGCTGTGAAACAATCCATGGAGCTGTTCCACATCCATACAGAAACAAACCCTGCTGCACATTTCTCTGTATAAACAAAGTCCATGCTTGTTTACCTTTCCAAATACTAGCCCTGCCCTGGAGATGGAGTTACCAGCACTGATAAACCCTCACAGTAGAGAACAGTACAGTGTTTGTCTTGTTAGAGGTTATGATGTTGTATATCTACATATATTTGCTGCTTTGTATTTATATAACCTTTATTTTCAGTTTACAAGGCAGTAAAAGTTTAATAATTTAATTTCTCTTCCAAATGTCATAGACCAAGATTGGTATTCTGTTTGAAAGAAACAAATTTATTTTTAAATAATACTCTAGGGTGTATTTAAAGCCCTTACCTGAATTTTATAGCTGGAACTCCAGTCTTAAATACATACTGGCTCATTCATGGGAAAGTAAAAAGTAAAATAGTTCAGTTGTTTACACCACATGGCACTACACCCAAGTTGTATTTTTCTAAGTAAGTTTTTTTCTAAGTAATTACAAATATGTAAAAACATATACTCATAGTTTGAAAAGAAAATCTATTCAAATTTGATCTTTGTTCAGTCACAATTCTCTAAAAAGTATTTTTAATCAAGACGTGACAACACAGAAATAAATGAATTTGTTAACTTTTATTTGAGTGGAATGAGATACTGTTGTGTCTTAGGAGGTATAAAGCAGTTGTGAACTGGGCTCAGTGATAAAGCGCTTGCATAAGCTTTGTAATCTGTGATTGTTAAGGACTGAAACTAGAGCCTCCCCACGAAACTACATCTTTAGGCCTTTTTTATTTTATATATTGGGACAGACAAGGTCTCGCTGTCAGTGGCAGTGAGCCTGTGGCACGCACCCCTTATATGTGTGACTGAAGGCTCTAAAACATTCACCATTGCTGCTAAGCTCCAAATCCAGGGTCCTCCTGCCTCAGTTTCCCAATATTAGGATTACACATATGTGCCGCCATGCCCAGCCTCCTTTTTTCACGCCCAGCTTTATTTTTGTTTTAGACAACCTATTTCCTTTATGATTTGACAGACTGCAATAATATCCCTGTATTTTATTCTTTTCTGTAAAGTAGGAAAAGTCCTGATCATTTCATGCTTTTTCCAATGACTTCAGTTTTACTTCTGGTACTAAGTAATTCACCACAAGGCTAGGAGGCACGACCTCACATCTCCATTTAATGAGAAAAGTCCTCTAATTATTAACGTTAAATAATGAACTGCAGGCATTTGGCCAGTCAACGTTTTCTCTGTGGTTATAAACACATATTTGTTGACTTTTATCTGGGTGGACTGAGATACTGTTGTGTTGTAGGAGATATATAACAGTTGCAAACCAGGCTTAGTAATAAAGTGCTTCACTGCAAGCACTTATTTCTTCTGATCCTCTTGGGGTCTTGCCGGTACAAAGTAAGCACCAAATAGCACTGGAGAGGAGGACACATGGATTAGTAGGTGGATGTCACCATAGTCATTATGACTCTAATATCTTATTTTAGGATTTTTAAAAAAGTTGAGTCAATTAGTATTTCTCAAGAAAAATCAAAAAGCTGGACATGCGGATGCACGTCTGTGATCGCAGCACTTAGAAGGACAAGGCAGGAGGATCACAAATTCAAGGTCATCCTGGGCTATACAGCGAGACCCTGTCTTAAAAACTAATCCAAAAGCTCTGCAGCTGGACAAGAAGTGATGTTCAGAAAACTTACAGAGAGGGCTTCAGCCAAGAAGAAGTGAGATAAGAGAATCATGTACTTCCTCACACTCCAGTGTGTTCAAATCCTAAAGAGCTGAACATTTCCCATGGCTGGCTCAGGTTAAAACCACACGAGTGAACCACCATGATCACAGCTCACAGGGAATCAGCAACTGGGGGTACAATGCCACTCCTCAGCTCACAGAGGAAAACCTTAAGAGACAAGCTGCAGTGTGGCAGCGCTCAGCTGGGGGCCCAAGCAAGTCCAACAGAACCTCACTTTGTGGAACAGAACAGACAGCGTTGTGGGCTGAAGCTTGGGACACTAAATCTGAGATGTCTGGTGATCAACCATCTCCACAGGCAACAGTGTGACTCTCTACAAGGTACAGACAGGCTCCAAGTGACACTGACCACTGACAGGTGCTCTAAAGTCCATGGTGAGTGGGAGGCCATATACCCAGCTGCTTAGTCAATGCTGGTCCAAATGTTTTTGTTTGTTTTTTGTACCAGGAATCAAACAACTCAGGACCTTAAACTTGCCAGACAGGCATTGTGCCGCTGAGCTATATCCTCAATCCTGTTCCAAATGTTGCCATAGAAAGTACTTTTAAAGATGTGATTAACATTTGACACTTTGAATAACACAGAGCATCTTCCACATCCAACTAGATGAAGGCCTTGAGATTGACGACTGAAGTTTTTATACTTACATCCTGAAATTGTATAGGGATCTCAAAGAGATGAAAGTAAAAAAAAAAAAAAAAAAGGACAGATAAGACCTTAAGATAGTCCTCAGGAAGTCCAGAATCAAAACTGTCATTTTACAAAAATAGAAGTCGCTTGCCTTTCCTTTTGGCCTCTCTGAGAGCTGGGAACCCTTTGAAGGACTTTCCTGCTCACTCTGGTCAGGGCAGAGGAGGAGGACTTCATTTATGGAAGAGTTCATGGAGAGTGGACAAGGAGGTTGGCACCAAATGCATGATTGCCAAGAAAGCACCAAGGTGAGTGTGCAGAGCTGGGGATCACCAAGGACAACCACTGACCAGGGCAACCTGCTGTCACAGTGGCGTTGAGACCTCATCATCTGCTGAGTTGGGAGGTGCTCTGAAGAACCCCAAGCAGGAGAAAGGCTTTGTGTCACCTGGCAGCCCAGGTCCCCTATTCGAGCACAGATTAACCACCCCTCTCCATGCAGACTCTGGCTCCATGTCCTGTGGAACTTACCAAACGATTCTCATCAAACACTTCGAAAAGAAGCCGGTGCTGCTGAGGGTGGACCTAGTAAGGAAAGCACAGCCTTGCTTTAAAAACAAGAGAGCACTTATGTCCAGTAAATGCTTTGATGAGAAGTAAATACTCTAAAAACACTGTTATTTGCTAGTTCTTGTTGTTTGCGATGTACTGTAAATTCCACGAAATAGGAATACAAGGCACACCAGTCAGGAGCCACCCATCTCCTAGCAGGTTTGCCAGAACAACAAAGTAGATTTAGTTGCTTATTTTTTAGATTCTTCTAAAATAGGGTGAAAGGAAGTAAAATAAAATCTCAGAAGACTATTTAAATGTAAAAACTTAAAAACGTACACTAGGTTTTAATGTATCATGATCTGTTGTATTTACTTCTTCTTCTTCTTCTTTTTTTTTGAGAAGTGCAGTTCATGCTGGTTTTGGGCTTGCTTTGCAGCCCAGGCTGGTCTCAAACTTGCATCAATCCTCCTGCCTCAGCCTCCAGAGCTGGGATTACAGGAGTACACCACCACACCTGGCATTATTTACTTTTATCCATCTATAATGGCAAGGTGCGTATAGATTTCAAGGAAACTGATGTTCTGAATCCTCTTGGTACTGATTTAACAAAGCCACATGTGCTTCAGGATGTAAAGGACACAGGAAACTGAAAGTATACCCATAATTTCTACTTACTGTTGAGATTTTGTAGCATGTGATTAAAATTACATGTAGTACTTTTCAAACCAATGCCTTTTGTTTTTGTTGAAATATTTCAATATCAAGTTAAAAATATATTTAATATCAAGCACAAAGAAAATCTTTAATTTTTTACATTAGAGGTAAAGGTGCAGTATGAAAGTACATTCAGTTGGTTTTCTACAATACACATATTTAACAGCAACCATTTAAAACTTTGGGGTCAAAAGCACTCATAGCCTTCAGAAGCAAAAGGGCCTTTACTGCTCATGACACTGACTCTTGTACCCTCATTCCCTCCCTTGTGGGAGACAGTCCTGAGGGTACCTGCACAGATGCACCTGAGCCACCACTGCACAGCTCCTGGGCAGGCCCACTGTGGAGCATGTATTGAGAAAAGTACAACCATGTACTAACCCGAAGTTTGATAACTGTCACACATGAGTACTTTGTGGTCAACTCCCAGATCAAGATCCCGAATACTTAGCTTTACATATAGCTTTCTCATGGATAATAGCATCTCTAGAATTGTTCAACATGACAATCTAAGCGTATGTCCTTGTGTGGCAGGTGGCCAATGAAGCAAGCTGATGCCAGACATTAGATGGGACTTTTGAATGAGCTCGTGGAAGAGGAATGATGGAACTTGGAGGGTTCCCTTTACATGCTGTCCTTCTCCCTTCTCTTTTTAGTTGGAGAGCTGGCACTCCTGTGACCACACTGTAAACAGGAAGCAACTGGCAAGAGACATCCCGATCAAGAGTCAGATACCATGGGGACGGAAAACCAGGGTAAGGTACCAATCTTCTCAAACAATATGTAGAACTTTTTTTTTTTTTTGTCTTTTTTTCATTTTTTATCGGTACCAGGGATCGAACTCACGACTGCCTGCTTCCAAGGCAGGCGCTTATGCCGCTGAGCTAAATCCCCAGCCCCAATATGTAGAACTATTGAAGAGATGAAGCTGAGCTGCAACTTCAATGATGGGAAGAATGTAAATAAGGAAAAGTAGAAAACATTCACAGCAGGGAGGGCCCTGGGGAAAGACGGCCTGTGGGCAGAGGGTGGCAGACTAAAAAGAACATTTCTGTAACAGAGTGGAACAGAAACTGGGTTGAAGTTGAGCCGGGGAGAGAAACACTGACAAGGAATTCAGATCTGCTCAGCAGGGAAAGCAATTTTAAAGGAGAAATGACATCTCTGGTGGTGCATTCCTACACCTCTGCAGCACTATACAGTGAACCAACTGGAAGGACCCTGGGTTCCAGGGACTGGGGTCCAGCAGAGGGACCCACCAGATTCAAGCATCCTGCATGCTACTGGCAGTGTCTGGGTTGTGAGGTCCTGGCAGACGCAGGATGGCCGGTGGGTGCTGCGGTGAAGAACTGGCTTCTGGTCGCTCAGGCCCTAAGGCATAGCTTCCTAAGAGATGCTGCCCCCACCTTGCCACTTTTCCTGCATCTCCTGGGAGCCATAGACAGTTCCCTCCCAGGAAGTCCTCCTGATCATAGCTCAAAGGCCCCAATTCCTGCACTCTGACCGCACTCAAAACTCCCCTGGCTCTGCCTCTCTGGCCCGACTTCTGCACACAAGGTCTCCGTTCTGCATACTAGATGTCCCCCCAGCCTTGGCCTCCATGCACACCCAAGCAGCTGACTTGGCCTCTTGTGAAAGTAAGTGGGCGTGTGTGTCATCTCCCTACTGAAATACTACTCTAGCAAAGATCACAGGCACACAATAATTTAAATTAAATTAAATTATTTAAATGATTTAAAACAGGCATATGCGCATTGATGTAATATGGCACCTAAACAGCCATCTTTCATCATTTCCCACCCAAGATCCTATTTAAATGCTAGGAAAGGGTTGTATACAACACAAAACCTTGCAGCATAGAGGGGAAGAGAGGACACAGGCAGTGAGTGGCACAGAGGTGGCACACTATGTGGCAACACACCAGACACCCACACACCAAATACACACACGATATACTGCACACGCACACGGGAACACATCGGATACACACACACACACACTATACATACCCAACACAGCAACACACCATGCAAAGTGTTAGTTAAGTTGTTGCAATGAGTATCATTCCATACAAGGTACCGTTCAAATCGTCTTTTTGTTTAGTCTTTCTATCAATTACTGGAAAGTGATAACATCTTCAATCATTGTGTATTGATTTCTCTATTTAGTTCTGTCCCTTTTTGCTTTTGAATCTTGAAGACCTATTATTAGGACACACAAACACATTTAGGATTGCAGGTCCTCTGGATGAATTAGCCCTCTGAAGGTCACAAACGGTCTTCCTTGATGCTGGGGATGGACACCAGGCAAGTGCTCTAACTGTGCTGTGTCCCAGTCCTCAAGGGACCCCTTTGTCTCTATATCATGTCTTCTCCTGTTTACACAGCCACTGACACTTTTATCAAGTGTTTCCATGGCTTATCTTTTTTTGTCTTTTTAAACTGTTGGGGTCTTTATGTACTTAAAGTTTATTTCTCTGGGTTCCCCATTTCCCTGGGGAAATGTTCTGCTGGAAGGGAGCAATCTTGCTATGGCATGTTTTAGGCATTTGAACATTGTAGGGAGAATAACACCCATCGTGAAGACGGATTTGGCTGATTATACTACCCCGGAGCCATGTCTACAGAAAGACAGTGAGAAAATGGACAGTTAAGGAATAGCCTGAAGGTTAGATTGAGACTTGAGAAACCCCTTCTGCAGTTAGTGGCCTGAACCTCCTGGTATGGAAAAGCGAATACAATGGAGGAGACTAGGCAGGGGTGTTGGCCTCCAGGGACCATGAGATACTCCACCTGATGCTGTTACACTATGGTCAGGTCTTGGCCAGGAAAACCTGGGACCAGCCCCTGGAGACAGAATGTCCAAGTGGAGGTCCCTGAGGATCCTGGCCCTGCAGGCCCCCATCCCTTCACCAGCTGCAGGGGGCCCATGCCCTGCAGTGAGTCCAGCTGGAATGCCACATGGGAAGGCACACAGTAGCTTCTTTCCTCAAGGAAAAGTGCCCCACTTCTCTCCTGGCTGCCCATGTAATAACCAGTAATAAACCCTGGTATAACTCTGGTGGGGTTGGTAAAGGAAGAAAAGATCATTTCTGGAAAAGTTCTGAACCAGCAGGAGACAGTGAAACCTCTTTGGAAACTAAAATGCTTGATCAAAGAGACAGAACATTAGGATTGGATAAACAAGAATCCAATGTCTTTGGGTCCTTTATCCGGAAGAGAGATCTAATACAGTACCCTGTCACAGATCCCGTGGGCAGGATCTCTCCTAGAAAACTGAAATAGTGATGGTCTCTGTGATACAACTGGAAATGCCTGAGCTTCCCTGGCAGGTGGAGAAGGAAGCTACAAGAGGGCCAGGTGACCCACCATTCACTACAGCTAGCTTATGTGCTGGTGAGAGGTGAATGATGTCACCACGAAGTGCTGTGGTAGCTCTCTTCTGTGTGCTGGGATTGATGGTAGGAGGGATGGTTCTAGCGCTGGGCTCAGCCCTAGCCACGAATCAGGGTGGTCCCCGTCAACTACTTCCCAGGAACTATCATGAGGACCAGGCTTGGGAAGGTGGGCAGGGAAACAGATGTGGCTGTGGGAAAAGAACACAGCATTCCCTAGGGAAGACAAACAGGCAGCTGGCGAGTGAGGGTCCAGCCTGGCATCTATAATCACAGGAAGATAAGGACGGAAAGCAGAAAGTTAAGGACAGATGCTCCAAGTGAAAAAATAATCATCTCTCACCAAGTGCCCTGACCAAAGCCTACTAACTGAAGAATGAGACAGAGGAAGGAATTCTGGCAGGAAGTAATATGATAACAACGCTCCCTTTTCCAAGGTGACCCAAGGCCATTTGAGGAATGTATATTGAGGAAAATCAGCCATCAATCTTATTTAGGACTTTTGGGAACAGGGCCTGTGTTGATATTCAGAGACTCAAAGCATCATTATGGCTCCCCTATTAGAGCAGAATTACAAGGCCCAGAGAAGAAATGGAGTCCTGATAAAGTCCAGTGTTAGCCAGTCTGGACTGTGGTTCTGTGGGTGATGGTTCTGGCTCTCAAGTATCTATGTAGAATTGATGTATCTAGCAGCTGGATTACCACCCCTGGCCTGCACCTGGCTGTCCCACTGGATCTATTGCCTATGAGATTGGAGCTATTATGATAAGAGGGTCAGTGAAGCCTTTGAAAAGGTACGCTTCCTGTTAAGACAGCAAATCAAAAACATGATCATCAGGAAGAACATGAAACACAAGTGACAAAAGAAAAACAGATCAACTGAATATCAAGACTGAAAACCTTTGTGCCTTATAGGACATTT